TCCTGAATTACCCATGATAAGGAATATACTTTAGGGTTTAGGGCATTACCCATAACAAGGAATATACCATAATCCCCATAGTTTCGGGTCCTTAAGGTAATGCAGGATTTGTATACTCAGCAGAATTCACCCTAAACACGTTGCTTTTGGGTGTGCAATGTGCGCTCGGCTTCAAGGACACGCCTTTGAACACCGCCGCAAAACATATCAAACACTGTATGTATATATATATATATATTTATTTATTTATTTATGTGTTTGTTTGTAGTTTGTTTTGTTTTTGTTGTTGTTTGGGGGGGGGGGGGACGGGGACCTGAGAGGATTCGGAGAATCAGAGGGTTTCGTCGCTTTGGACCCTTTATGGTGTAGCGTTTTTGGCGGGGCTTCCCAGTAATATAGGGGCCTTACTAATTAGAATAGGGTCATTGGGGGTTCCTTCTTATCACCATAGCATAATATACCCCCAAACCCTATTCCAATCATGATGGCCCCTATATTAGTTCCTTGTGGCAGCATTTCGACTGGAGGGACTGAAGGGCGCAGAGGTTTGGCTCATGTTGGGTTGCGTGGATCTCGAGTTTTCTGGCTGACCTTGAGTTGGGTGGCTTTACAGTTAATAGTACGGTTTAAGGTTTAGGGTTTAGGGTTTGGAGTTTAGGGTTTTGGGTTTTGGGTTTAGGGGGGTTGATGGTTCCACCTAAGCCAAGAAGACCGGTATTCGAATGCTGCAGCTGGGATGCCGAGGATGACGTCCAAATGCATGATCGGTCAGTCTGCTCGTCTGATGAAACATCACTTGCAAATCAGAGGCAATACTTGTTGCTTCGTCCGATGCTTGGTCGGCTTGTGTTTGAGTCGGGAGAGAATACATGCTAAAATCACGGCTGACAATGGCCACATATTCGTAGTGCATCCAACCGTGATGGTTTCATGTTACTCTATATATATATATATACACCGTTCTGTCAGCGTGATTTTGCGTGCGCCTTCGGCTGGTGCATTGCAGGCTTGACAGAGCTTGTTTCCAGCTCTGCCTGCTCTGCAATTTTAAGAGCAAGTTCGAAGGAAGTAGAAGGCCTTGTTGAGCTCGATGCCTGGGACGATTTCCAAACGCATGATAGGTCAGTCTGACTCGACTGACGAAACACGGCTTGCGCTGCAGAGGCTTATGTGGCATGTGTTCCTTGGTGTGTGAAGTTATGAAGGAAGTTGTGGCGGCGATTCAGGTCCATCGCATGGCTGACGAATCAGCTAGCAATCAGCTTCACTGCTTTGGAGGTCAGTGTTTGTTGGGACAGTGTGCGATGCTGAAAGCTACTTGGTCGTGGTTCGGATTTCCCTTCCTTCTTTGTGCTTTTGGGTGTTGTGGCTGCCCTGCATGTGCCTTCGGATGGTGCATTGCAGGCTTGACAGAGCTTGTTTGCAGCTCTGTCTGTGCTGATGCTTTTTTGGACAGCGGGCCCGAGGAAAGTAGAAGACCTTGTTGAGCTCGATGCCTGGGACGATTTCCAAACGCATGATAGGTCAGTCTGACTCGACTGACCTTGCGCTACAGAGGCTTATGTGGCATGTGTTCCTTGGTGTGTGAAGTTATGCTCTGGCTTTGCTGTTTTGGAAAGCAGGCTCGAAGAAAGTAGAAGGCCTTGTTGAGCTCGATGCCTGGGACGATTTCCAAACGCATGATAGGTCAGTCTGACTCGACTGACGAAACAAAGCTTGCGCTGCAGAGGCTTATGTGGCATGTGTTCCTTGGAGTGTGAATTTCTGAAGGGGGTTGTGGTGGCGATTCAGGTCCATCGCATGGCTGACGAATCAGCTAGCAATCAGCTCCACTGCTTTGGAGGTCAGTGTTTGTTGGGACAGTGTGCGATGCTGAAAGCTACTTGGTCGTGGTTCGGATTTCCCTTCCTTCTTTGTGCTTTTGGGTGTTGTGGCTGCCCTGCATGTGCCTTCGGATGGTGCATTGCAGGCTTGACAGAGCTTGTTTGCAGCTCTGTCTGTGCTGATGCTTTTTTGGACTGCGGGCCCGAGGAAAGTAGAAGACCTTGTTGAGCTCGATGCCTGGGACGATTTCCAAACGCATGATAGGTCAGTCTGACTCGATTGACGAAACACAGCTTGCGCTGCAGAGGCTTATGTGGCGTATGTTCCTTGGTGTGTGAAGTTATGCTCTGGCTTTGCTGTTTTGGAAAGCAGGCTCGAAGAAAGTAGAAGACCTTGTTGAGCTCGATGCCTGGGGCGATTTCCAAACGCATGATAGGTCAGTCTGACCCGACTGACGAAACAAAGCTTGCGCTGCAGAGGCTTATGTGGCATGTGTTCCTTGGAGTGGTTTTGTTGGGACAGTGTGCGATGATGAAAGCTACTTGGTCGTGGTTTGGATTTCCCTTCCTTCTTTGTGCTTTTGGGTGTTGTGGCTGCCCTGCATGTGCCTTCGGATGGTGCATTGCAGGCTTGACAGAGCTTGTTTGCAGCTCTGTCTGTGCTGATGCTTTTTTGGACTGCGGGCCCGAGGAAAGTAGAAGACCTTGTTGAGCTCGATGCCTGGGACGATTTCCAAACGCATGATAGGTCAGTCTGACTCGATTGACGAAACACAGCTTGCGCTGCAGAGGCTTATGTGGCGTATGTTCCTTGGAGTGTGAATTTCTGAAGGAAGTTGTGGCGGCGGTTCGGGACGGCTGACAAATCAGCTGGTAATCAGCTCCACAGCTTTGGAGGCCACTGGTTTTTGGAAGACTTTGCAATGAACACTGATTACATGGTTGTGGTTTGCAGTATCTTTCCGTCTTCGGGCCTCTAAGAACTCCCACGTGAGTTCATGAAGTCCTCGATCACCACGGATTTTGTAGGGACTCAAGAAATACCCCAGGCTGCAGATGAAGTCTATAGATCAAACACACAAGCAACCGTAGGCCAATTATACGAAGACTGCAAGGTGTTCTCTAGATGCCTCCAAAACCTAAACCCTAAACCCTAAACCCTAGCAAGATTCCAACTGCAGCGATGCCTCAGGTCCTTTGCTTTCGGGAACCCTGCAGAGAACCTGAAGCCTAGAGGTCCGCTGTATGGCAGCCTCTACGAGAACGATGGATTCGGATTTGAGACTTAGGGTTTGAGACGTTAAACTAAAACCTAAACGCAAACACCCTAAACCCTCCGGGTTTGGAGTGTTCGAGTTGGGTCTTTTGGTTTCTGTATCTTTTTTGTTTTGGTGTTTATAACTTAGGGTACATTGCTCGAGGCTCAAAGACTCATAGATCAAGGGATGCAGGGTGTCTCGGGAAGAAGAGCCCTACCACTCACGGCTTGCATCTTTGCTGCCGTTTTGTTGAAGCCTTGGATTTGGGGCTGAGGGTTCGAATTAGGACTCACGGTTCAGGGTTCAGGCTTGTTGAACGTGTATGCTGCCTTCTTCTGTCCTAGAGGTCCACATCCTGCAGAGGTTTGAATGAATAGTTTGCAGTAGTGTGCCCTTATAGCCGCTATGCAGCTATAGTAGCATATCACCCCAAAAC